GCGTGGGTTGCTCATTGAAGCCGGGCTACCCGACTATTTCTGGCCTGATGTGGTGCGGAGTGCGTGTGTGGCCAAGAACAGAGCTTTGACTCATGTGGGAGCAGACAAATGGGTGCCCTATGTGGAGTGGATTGGAAGGAAGCCAAAGGTGGATATGCTTCGGGTGTTCGGGTGCATGTGCATGGCGCTCGTGCCTAAGCATCTTCGGCACAACAAGCTCGGTGGCAAGGCGATATGGGCTGTGCACTTGGGCATGGCTCAAAACAGCAAGGGGTGGCTTCTTAGGGACCCATTCACCAAGAAATTATTGGTGAGAAGGGACTGCAAATTCATGGAGAATCTGATGTACAAGGATTGGAAGGCGGAGAATGAGGCGAAGATAGGCATGCGGTTTGGGGAGGTGAAGAGTTCCGGTTTGGAGCTGAGCAGCAGCAGCACCACCACGAGGCAATCTTCCCTTGTGAATGGGGGAGAGGAGGCCAAGGATGCAGAGGAAGAAGAGGAGGAGGTGCAGCAAGTGAGCGAGCGTGCACCGACACTTCCTTCTCGCACTATGAGTGCTCCACGGATCCGAGTCACCCCGCAGCAACGCCATGAAAGCCTTCATGTCCCTGCAGTCGAGGAGGAAGGAAGGGGCAAAGGGAGAATCCAAGCCCCAAATAGGCTGACATATGAGGCACTGGGAAAGCCAGCCAAGTCAGCCTTGGCCGGAGCGGCACTTATAGTTGGAGATGACGAGGAGAGTGACTACGAGGAGTGTGCCTTCGCGTTCTTCTCTCCGGTGGAGATGCCGGGGGAACCAGCAACTCTCAAGGAGGCCTTGGAGAGTAGTGATGCTGAGGAGTGGAAGAAGGCAATGGAGAGTGAGCTGAAGAGCATTGAGGAGAATGGCACATGGGAATTGGTGGAGCTACCGGAGGGGCGTAAGGCGATTACGTCCAAGTGGCTCTTCAAGATCAAGTCCGATGCCGACGGCAATATCGAGCGCTACAAGTCTAGGCTTGTGGCCAAGGGGTACCAGCAGAAGCAGAAGGTGGACTATAAGGAGTTGTTTGCTCCTGTGGTGAAGCCGACGACGCTGCGAACCCTACTCGCGGGTGCTGCCATCAAAGGATGGGTGGTGAAACAAATGGACGTGACAACCGCGTTCCTCAACGGCATTCTCGAAGAAGAGATTTTCATGGCGCAGCCAGAGGGATTTGATGATGGTAGTGGCAGAGTGTGGAAGCTGAAGAAGGCCCTCTATGGGCTCAAGCAAGCCCCTAGGCAGTGGTACTTGAAGCTGCGTGAAGTCTTGGAGGAGATCGGGTTCACTCCCTCATCTGCCGATCATTCCTTGTTCGTGCTTGGCGAGGGGGAGCAGAGGAGTTTCATGGTGGTTTATGTGGATGACATCCTCATTTTCTCACCATCCTCTGACCTTGTGAAGGAGGTGATGCTGAAACTTCAAGACAAGTTCAAGTGCAAGGCCCTTGGTGACGTGAGCTTCTACCTCGGGCTTCACATTGAACGCGATGTGGAGAAGCGGTGCATGCGGGTGCATCAACGAAAGTACCTGGAGGCATTGGCTGCCAACTTTGGGCAGAGTGAAGGTCATGTGGCTACACCCTTTCCCTCTGGGTTCAAGTGTGTGAAGGGACCAGAGGAGGAGAGCGTTGGTGAAGAGGAGAGGCGCCGTTTTCACTCGTTGGTGGGCAGCCTCATGTACGCGGCGGTAAACACCCGACCGGACGTCCCCTTTGCTACCGGACAGTTGGCTAGGGCTGTTCAATGCCCTAACGAGGAGCAGGTAGCAGCTGGAATGAGGGTGGGCAAGTATCTTGGCCAAACACCGACCGTTGGGCTGCAATACTCGGCGGCGGCGCAAAGGCGCCAAAAGGGCGCGGATGGTGTTGAACACGGGCGTTTGTTCCTCACCGCATTCTCGGATGCTTCTTATGCATCGGAACCAGAGGACATGACAAGTGTTGGAGGGTTCATTTGCTATGTTGGTGGAGGCCCAACTGCTTGGGAGAGCAAGAAGCAGGTGGATCAAGCATTGAGCTCGGTGGAGTCCGAGTATATGGCACTCTTCCGTGCCGTACGGGAGATTTTGTGGCAACGGCGTTTGTTGGCTGAATTGAGGGAGGAGCAGCAAGGACCTACCCCACTCTACTGTGATAGCCAAGGTGTCATTCCTCTTGCTAAGAACCCTGTGTTGTATGGCCTCACCAAGCACATGAGGGTGAAGTGGCATTGGACGAGGAGCATGGTGGTCGCGGGTGAAGTTGAGTTGCACTATGTGAAGACGACAAGGCAGCAAGCTGACATGATGACCAAGAGGATGGTGGAGCAGCAGCATTGGAAGTGTTGCAAGCTGGCTGGGATGGCTCTGAACTGAGAGAGCAAGATCCTAAGGCCAACAATCCGAGGGGCAGTTTGTTGGTGCAACCATACGGTTTGCATTCGGCTTGTTGTCCGTGTGCGTGCATGTGTGTGTGCATGGAATGGTATGAGGGCATGAAATAATATATATTTCATGCTTACAATAGTGTGTGAATGATGAGGCATGATTTTGAATGTGTGTGTCGAGTCAATAGCGAGTTATCGCTAGTCGCGTGTCGCGTCGTCGTTTGCGTGTCGTGTCCGGTTTTCTATTTTGTAGTGTGTGGAACGTTCGGCGTGTCGCAGGTGTGCGCAGCAGACTTCCAAGAACTCAAGGAAGAATTTACCTTGAAGAACCAGAGCCTTGGTTTCAAGAATCAAGTGATTTCGAAGCTCTCCAAAAGGGTAAACTTTAAGATAGTGAGAATACTTGCATTACTTTGTGTAGTGTAACATTTCTCTTGGTGTAGGCCCTTGTGGAGGGTAGTTTCGAGACCCTTCGTGGTTGGGGACAGTGTGGCACTGTTCCACATCACTGTACCTCGGCTCTTGGGGTTTGTAGGAGCTGGGAGTCATTCCCAACTCGTAACTCTTCCTAATTTGTGTTCTAAGTCTATAGTGGCTGCCATAGTGCTGTTCGTTCAAACCAACGTTGCGTCCTCAATACTTGCTGAAATCGTGTTATTTAAATTGCCCATTTTAGGCGACATCAAGACGCCCCAGATCCAATTTATAGCAAGTCGTTTGAAGCTGTGAGCAGAACGCTATCAACGTTTGAAGCCGCTGTGCAGAAATCCGACTGTGCACTCTATCTTTCGTTTTAGGCACATTCAAGCCTATTGTGACTATAACAATGACGCTGATGCTCGTCTTGCTGTTCGTAGTCACCTGCCGCCTGCTGAGCGCGCGCATTTTGGCCAGTATAAGACTGCTCAGTCTTTGTACGACGCTGTAGTTGCGCGCTACTCCTCCCCTGCCACTGCTGCCCTCAGCCGCCTCATGCTGCCGTACCTTTTCCCTGACCTTGCCGCCTTTGCCACAGTCGCTGACCTCGTTGCTCACCTCCGCACTAGTGACGCCCGCTACCGCGCTGCCCTTCCCACTGAGTTCTGTGCCAAGAAACCCCCCCCCCATGTACATCACCCTTTACTACCTAGTCACCCGCCTCCCTGACTCCCTTTCTTCAGTCAGGGACCACTTTCTCTCCCTTTGCCCAACCGAGCTCACTGTCGACCTGCTAGAGGAGCGCCTTGCTGCAGCTGAGAAGAGCGTCTTAGCTGTAGGTGCTTCTCGCGGCGATCGTCGCACCCTTTTCTTTGAGGGGTGTGCCCCTGTCCCCCTTCTCCCCTCTGTTGCTTCTGCTGCTGCTGTCGACCTCGCTGGCATGATCTGCTTATGCAGAATGTGCCTATCTTTGATCTTGATTTCGATGCTATCCTTGTTGCGATGTATGCTTTGACTGATAGTGCTGAGGGCGACTGTTACCTGAGTGTCCCGCCCGACCCGGGCATTGAGGCTGCTGCTCTAGGTGCTAGTGCGTCTGCTGCTCCAGGTACTGGTGAGTCTGCTGCTCCAGGTGCTGGTGAGTCTGCTCTCTCTGGTACTGCACCTACTGAGGCCTTGCACACTTTCACACTTGACTCTGGTTCTTCGCGCTCTTTCTTTAGAGACAGCACCACGCTCACGCCGCTCAGTCGGCCTGTCGCAGTCTCCCTGGCTGACCCCTCTGGGGGCCCAGTCCTTGCACACTCTTCCACGGTTCTACCGTGTCCTGCGGCCCCGTCGGGCTTGCTGTCGGGACTCCACCTCCCCTCGTTCTCTACGAACCTGGTGAGTGGAGCTGACCTCCAGGACGCGTGGGTTGACCAGTTCACCCCTGGAGGTCAGCGTGTGACCCACTGCACTTGCACTCGGACTGGCTGCCACCTGGTCACGTTCACCCGTCGGCCTGGGTCGAGTCTCTACACACTGACTACTGTGCCCCCTCCGGTCTCTGCGTCTGGTCAGGTAGCCGCGTCTAGTCAGGTGTTTGCTGCTGCGTCCAGGTCTAGTCCTGCGTCTGCCCCCTGCTCGTGTCGTCCTCTGACGCACGAGACTCTCCTGTGGCACCACCGCCTTGGTCACCCCTCCCTGCCTCGTCTTCAAGGTATGGCTTCTCGTACCCTTGTCTCGGGTCTCCCCCGGTGCCTTCCTCCCCTTCCTCCGGGGCCTGCCCCCACCTGTGTTCCTTGTGTCGAGGGCCGGCAGCGCGCCGCTCCTCACTCCTCGTTCCCTCTGACCGAGACTCCCCTGCAGACTCTTCACATGGACGTGTGGGGCCCAGCCCGCGTCCGTGGACAGGGTCACGAGCGTTACTTCCTCCTGGTTGTTGACGACTACTCGCGTTACACCTCAGTCTTCCCCTTGCGCAGCAAGGGTGACGTCACTGAGGTGTTGATCGACTGGATCCGCGGTGCCCGTCGCCAGCTCAGAGATAGTTTCGGCTCGGACCTTCCTGTTCTGCGTCTGCACTCAGACAGAGATGACGCGAAGGAGCGTCAGGGGAGTGGAGCGCCAAACGGGGGCACGCCAAGAAGAGGAAGAAGGAAAGAGGGCGTCAGCAGGTGTCTTCCGCTCGCTTGAGCTGAGGCCAGGATATGACCGCAGACGGTGCATGGCGATGGGCGGAGGACGGCGAGCAGATTGGGAAAAGCAAGAAGACGAGCAGGACTACGAGGAGCGACGCCAGCGAAGCCCGCCTGGGTGGGAGCGGGGGCGCCACGGAGAAGGACGAGAAAGGGGCCGGGGAAGGCGATCACCGCACGGCTCCAGAGCAGAAGGAGGAGGTCAGCAGCGAAGGGAGCAAGAGCGGCATCGCCAGGAACGTTCTCCTATGCAAAGAGATAGACAATGGGAAGATCAAGAAAGGTACAAGAGAGATCGCGAAGAAAACCAGAGGAGAAGCCCGAGTCCAATTGGAACTAGGAGGCTGCGGCAACATGGAGAGGGATCGAGCGGGGCTAGAGCGGCTCGTGAGGGGTTGGAACGAGCGCTGTACGGGATCAGTGCAGGAAGCAGAGGAGAAAAAGGAAAGCAGCGGGGGGCTGCTCTGTCAGATCGGGGAGGATCTGGGAGCTGGGATATGGGGAGGTGGGGCGCGACGGCAGCGCCACGGGTGGAGGTGCCGGTACGCTTCACAGGGAACGAGAGCACAGGCCCGAGCCTCAAGAATTACCTGATGCAGATAAGCAACGTTAAGTACCGGTGTGATCGGAGCGGGATGGATCCCATAGACTTCTTCCTAAGCCCGCCAAACACGCTGGGGGGGGAAGCAGAAACCTTGCATCGCATGAAGATGGGGGAGTGGCTGAGAAGAGCAGATGAGGAAGAGGAGGACCCGACGGTGCTGTTCCTGGAGCGGCTGACAAGCCACTAAGGGCAGCCAGCTTGTGGGAGCAGGAATCTCTCAAGGCAGAAGCACGCAAGGGCTGCGGGCAAGCAGGGAAGAACATGAAGAAGAAGGGTAAGAGGATCAAGAGAGGAACCAGCCCAGGGCCAAGGTGAGGAAGAGATGATCTTCGACAGTCATTAGGTACATGAGGCAGCCCACAAGCTCTGCGTAAGGACCACTAGGCTCGAACGGCTCGTCAGGAAAGGGTCTGGTGAGTCTGTGGTCAACGGCAAGAGGTGTGCGTTGTACAGTAGAGTGCTAAAGCTCGAACCGCTGAAGGACCTGCTGCACCATGTGTGACTGTGAGAGTGTAATGGTGCGAGCAGCTCTGTCCCTGGTTATCTGCAGGCCAAGGTAGTGGCGCAACTCACCAAGGTCAGTGCAAGTGTGTCTCTTCGGTAGTTCGAGCTTCACCTCAGCCAAAGCAACCCTGTCAGCAGTGGCGAAAACCAGGTCGTCCACGTAGACCAGTACAAAGAACGGTGTGGAGCCACGACGAACGAACAACGATGGGTTGGTAGAAGAAGGCTGGAAACCAAGGTCAGAAAGGGTAGAGCAAAGGGTGTCACGCCACTCACGAGGAGCCTCACGGAGACCGTAGACCGGTCGCCTAAGCCTCCACAGGGTCCCAGGAGGGAAAGTGCCAGTGAAGGCAGAGGGACGACGTAACCAGACCTCCTCGTGTAGGCTAGCCTGAAGGAAAGCAGTGGAGAAGTCAAGAGAGTGTAACTCGTAGTCTCTCTGTGCTGCTACGCGTAGTAACACACGAAGAGTGGTCATCTTCGGGGTAGGCACGAAGGTCTGAAAGAAGTCAACTCCCTCGCGCTGTCTGAAACCTCTGGCCACATAGCGAGCCTTGGAGACAGGAGGAGATCCCGGTGGCCGCTTCACCCTGAAGATCCACATGCCATCGACTACGTTCGCCCCAAAGGGGGGAACCTCGTCGACGTAGGTGCCTGTGGATCTGTAGGAGGCCATCTCTGAGTCCATGGCAGCTCTCCACTGAGAGGCCCAAGGCCCTGACACTGCCTCAGCGTAAGTGCGAGGAGTCGGTATGTCAAAGGCGATGGGGTCTCCCTCAGGGGCGAGCAGCATGGCACAGAGATGAGGGGAAGCGGCTGCCAGGAACTCCAGCTCAAACTGCCTATCCTCTAGGGCGTCACAGCCAAGGGCAGACTCACCCTCGACAGCCAGAGGACTGGTAAGAGGATCAGCCACAAGACTGGTGGCGTAGTCAAGGCAGCGAATAGAGGCAAACTCAGGGTTTAGGGTGTACCCGGCAGAGGGTGCACCCCCAGTCGTAGCACTCCCAGGGACAGCTCCACTAACACCAGCTCCCCAAATACTAGAGTCTCCTGCAATCACTGGCTCAGCTCCAACTCCAGCACCCCCAAAACCAGGGCCTCGCACATGTACGCTCTCTGCTCCAACTCCAGCACCTCTAGAGCTAGCACCTCCAGGGTCCTTGCCATGAAAACCGGCTCCCGCAGGGTCTGCTGTAGGCTGGGAGGAGGACTGCGGGGAAGGAGGCTGCACCTGAGGGGCTACCGAGGGGGGAGGGGTAGCGTGGGACACACCTGACGGGCAAGGACCAGGGAGGGGAGGCTGTACCGGGGGAGCAGGAGGGAGAGCTGAAGTCAGGAAGAGAGGGACAGAAGAAACCGGGAGACCTCGACAGGGGTACCTGACGTAGTAGCGGACGGACTCGTCGAAACATACGTCACGAGATTCAAAGAACCGATGAAGGGGAGGGTGGTAAAAGGTGTAGTCAGACGAGTCCTCAGGGAAACCAAGGAACACGCAGGGAACAGCGCGAGGCGAGATCTTGTTCGCGGAGGTGTCGCGAACAAGTGCCAAGCAACCCCAGACATGAAAACGCAACGCAGCACCCGGGGACCCGGTCCAAAGACTGGTCGGTGAAACCTCTGGCCGAGAGACACGTGGCCAGAGGTTCACCTGGTGAGCGGCGTACCGAACTGCGTAAGGCCACAGAAAATGGGGGGCACGGGCGTGAGTCATGGAGGTGCGGGCGATCTCCATGACCAAGCCTATACGGCGCTCAGCAACCCCATTCTACTCTGGGGACTCTGGAAGCGTCCAGGACTGACGGATGCCCTGCTCGCGTCAGAATCCAGCGAGACTGCCAGAGAAAAACTCACCCCCGTGGTCGGAGTGAAGACAGCTGACACGACGACCACGAGTGTCTGCAGTGGTAAGCAACCACCGGATTAGCGTAGAAGTCACGTCAGACTTCTTCGCCAGGGGGAACACTGTGGTGTAGCGGGAGTAGTCATCAACGACCACGAGAAAGAAACTCTCTCGCTCAGAGCCACGGCACGAGGCGAGGCCCCAGACGTCCAAGTGGAGAGTCGCGAAGGGCTCGGTGGCCGGACGAAGGGATGAGGAGTGAGGGGTGCCGCACAACCGACCCTCAACGCAAGGACTGCAGGGTGGCGCAAGCGAAGGCGACAACGACGGCAAGATACGCGGGAGGCCTAAGACAAGACGCTGATTAGACATAGCGCGCAGGCAAGAAATGGACGGGTGCCCCATCCGGTGGTGCCACAAAACAGTGGGGTGGGCAAGCGATCGGCAGGAGCACGACGCAGCAACTGGACCTGAGTTTGGAACCTGACCAGACACAGCTACCTGGGGAGACGCGACAACTTGTTGAGACGCGGGAACCTGACGGGGGACAGTGACACGGGTCGGGGGCAGTAGCTGCTGCTGCCGCTGTTGCTGCTGGTGCTACTGCTGCTGCTGCTGCTGCTGCTGCTGCTGCTACTACTGCATCTGCCGCTGCTGCTGCCCTCGGGGGCCAGTGTGAAGTGTGTAGAGACCAGAGCCCAGCTCAGCGGTAAAGGTGGCAAGAGGCGCGTACGTGTCCCCGTCGACACAGACCGCAGTCTCGCCAGAAGGCTCAATCCACACACCCACGTGCTGACTCACGAGCGGCCTCACGCCCACCAAGTTCCTCAAGAACGAGGGGACGTGGAAGCCGGTCAGAGAACCGGAGGGAACAGCCGGGCACGGAAGCGTAGTAGTGTATCGAGCAGTGACTGGTCCCGAAGTGGGATCAGCCAGTGCTACAGAGACCGGCGTAGGAAGCGGGGTAAGTGTCGTGCGGTCGCGGAAGAAACAGTGCGAAGCTCTGGAGTCCAGAGTGAAAGACATCAAAGCGTCCTCCAGAGCAGCTCCTGGACTAGGTCTACACAAGTACTTACACTAGCAACAGGCACCTCAGCAAGACAAGCACCTAAGCTAACAACACTCAAGTAAACAGACTCAGAAGCACTAGAGTCAACAACAACATACATAGCATGAGGATTTCTTAAGAGATCAACCAACTGAGAAGCCGACATGCCCCACAGAGCGGGGCCGTACGTCTGAACAAGGGGAAGCCAGTCAGGGGCAGGGGCGTCAACGCCGTAAGCCAATCAAACCGTGACAGTAAGCTGAGAAAAGCACTGACCCAGTGGGTGGCTGCGGCCACAAGGCTGGCTGCGGCGGGCACCTGTCAGAACGTGATAGGTGCAGGGAGGGTGGACAACACCGCGCTGTAGCTGACGCTGTCCTGACCCCTGCCCCGAAACCTGCTGCTGCCGCTGCTGCTGCTGTGGTTGCTGCGAGGGGAGGGGCTGCTGCTGCTGCTGTCGTTGAGTCAGGTACCACGCCGCTGCTCCACCCCCTGTGGCTGGTAGACCAGTGGGTGGCTAACGATTCTGGCGTCACCTCCACCAGCTGCAGTAGGGGAGTCACCGGCCGTTGCACGAGGCGCTCCTCCAACGCCTGCACTCCCGCCGCCGTTGCTCGCCACGTCACCCCCACCGCCTCCGCCGCCTCTGCCCGCACCCTGACCGCCCCTCCTGCCACTCCTACCCCGAGACCGCGAAGAAGTCGTAACAGCAGCTGCGGTCACGTCAATAGCGGCAATGGCGAGGGAGGCAGTAAAGGTGGGCAGCTGAGGGACAGTGCACCCGTCAAACAGTGGAGGGGGCACAACACCAGAGGCAAAGGCTACCGAGCGGAGGTTGCTCTTGACGTCCTTGAGGGCCGACTCAAGGACCTCGATAGTGAGCTCGCTAGGGTGCTTCAAAAGAAGCGCGTCACGAACCGAGGCAAGGCGGTCAGGGAGGCTAGTGGCGATGAAATAGATAGTAATCGCCATGGGAGGAGGGAGCAGTGCAAGCTGTGCGTCAGTACAAGCAGCGCAGTAGCTAGAATCGAGCGAGCGCAGATGAGTGATCAAGCAGCAGTGCGCTCAAACGAGGCGAGGTCAGGAAACAGGAACGGAAGGAACAAGCGACCAAGAGAGATAGTGGTGGGAGTAGCGTAGCGGGCCTTGATCGCAATCAGGAACTCACTAGCCGTGCGAACCTGAGTGAAGTGGGTCTCCTCAGACTTAGGGAGGAGGCTGCTGAGGGGATGCAGGCCGTAGCGTCACGCGATTTCCACGCTTTCACGTCAGCACGCTCGCATGCATAACGGTCACTGTCTGCAGGTGTGGGGTCAGCTGCTAAGGGTGCAGGGTCAGCTGGCTTAGGTAGGTCACCGGAAGCGTGCGCCCACAGAGTCTCGTGTGCCTAAACCTGGATCTCTAGGAGGCGGCGCGCAAACAGGAGCGAGACCGAGTACTCGAGCGGCCTACCCTCAGCGTCAAAGCACAGGACCCTAGGGGTCGCCACAGCGGAAGCGTAGAGGTGGATACTGCTGCTGTCGAAACCCTAAACGCCTAAAGAGCATGCGTAGGGTGTGACAAACAGTGCGACACAACGGGACGGACGCGACCGGCAGGGACGGGCGCGACAGGCGCGGACGGGCAGGGCGCACGGGGCGCGACGGACGGGCAGGGCGCAGTGGGGACGCGACGGACGAGCAAGGCGCACTGGGCACGACGGACGGGCAGGGCGCACGAGGCGCGACGGACGGGCAGGGCGCAGGGGGGGCGCGACGGACGGGCAGGGCGCACGGGGCGCGTGCGACGGGACGGGTCAGGAAGCGCGACGCGGACGGGACGGGACAGGACGGACAGCGCGACGAGGCGGGACAGAAGGGGGGCAAACCGACGGGACAGCAGGGACGACGGGACGGGACGGGACAGCAGGGACGACGGGACGGGACGGGATGGGACAGCAGGGGGCGACGCGACGGGACAGCAGGGGCGACGGGATGGGACGGGACAGCAGGGGCGACAGGTCAGTAGGGGCAACGGGACAGCAAGGGCGACGGGACGGGACGGGACAGCAGGGGCGACGCGACGGCAAGGACGACGGGACGAGACAGCAGGGGCGACGGGACGGGACAGCAGGGGCGATGGGACAGCAGGGGCGACGGGACGGGATGGGACAGCAGGGGCACACGACGTAGGCGCAGTGGGCGCTAGGGCACGAGAGAGATGAGCGCGAGAGGCGCTAGGGGACAGTACGGGCGTAACGGGCACTAGGGTACGAGACAGGCTCGGGCGCTATGGGCGTGAACGAGAGGAACGGGATCCTACAGGATCCTAACCTAGCTGATACCATGTCAAGAATAAAAGTGTTGATTTGACTAAGGTTGGTTGGGGTACATAGACCTAACCCTAACAGTTGTACCCCGTATAACACACATCACTAAGACATACAACATTTGACAAAGGGGTACAACACTTTTGGGTTAGTAGTTGTACCCAACTCATTCATAGTTCATTCATTCCTGCACAGTTATTCTGACATGGTATCAGAGCGAAGGTCTCGGGTTCGAATCCCAGTGTGTGCACTTTGGGCATCCCAGTGCGGGGGGGTGTCAGAGGTCCATTGGTGATCCCCGATTGATCATAGGGAAGGGTTACAGGCTCGTTGTCCTGGGGGGTTATGGGCGCACTTACCCGCTACTTAACAAGCCCTTTTATCCCAATGGTCTAGTGGTTGGGATTCTGACATGGTATTCAGAACAGGAAACCTGTTAAGTTTTTAGGGCCCACCGTTAGTTTCGCTCGTTCCTGCCCGAAGCGCCCTTGCGCTGTCCGGCCCTGCTCGCACAGTGTCGTGTTAGAATCCTAGCGTGACTTAGGAGCCATGGCTAGTGAGTGTCGAGAGAGTTGAGTGTCGAGAGAATTGAGTGTCGAGAGAATTGGAAAGGAGAATGCGTGGTTTCACTATAGAAAGTTGGGATACAAATAGCAAACCCTAAATTGGGTTGTACTCACTACAGAGTACCCCACTGCAAGCTAAACAGCAAATACATTCTGACACACCCCCATAGTCAAAGTGGGGTATAATCAGCAGAGCAAGCAGTCATAGAGCAGGTTCACCAGTACAAGCAAAGCTAGAGGCATTCACAAAGGGCAAGTGAGGAGGAGGAGGCTGGACTGTGAGAGGAGAGGAGATAGGAGGCGACGGCTGATGCTGCAGACACACGGGCAACAGGAGCGGCGCGCACGGTGGCTACCGGAGCAAGGGCCCCAGACTACAGGAGTAACTGGCTCTGCGGCTAACTCTGAGCGGCAGGAGCAACGGACCCACGGGCGACAGGCGCAGCAGGCTCTCTGAGCTACCAGAAGCAGAGCCCCGGACTACAAGTGCTGCGGACGACAAGACGGCAGCCTCCGCTCAACCTCCCCCAACTGTCCCACCCCCCTTTCACACACCCCTTGCTGCACCCCTAGCTCCACTCCCACTTCACCCCCCTAGCACCACTCCCTCTGCTCCCACACACCCACCCCCCTCAGCGGCAGCTGCAGCAGTGGGAGACGGAGGAGGAGGAGGAGCAGGGGACGGTTCACACACCCGCCACCCCCATACCCTCCCCCACTGCTGCACCTGCAGCAGGGGATGGAGGAGAAGGGGGGGGGGGGGGGGGGGGGGGGGGGGGGCTGGTGCTGCAGATCCCCTCCCCCCCACTGCTGCACCCGCAGCAGGGGAATGGAGGAGAAGGGGGGGGGGCTGGTGCCGCAGATCCCCTCCCCCCCCACTGCTGCACCCGCAGCAGGGGGGAGGTAGGAGAAGGGGCGGTGCAGGAGCCACTCGGGCGACAGCAGGTTGGCCACACCCGCCACCCCCATACCCTCCCCCAACTGCTGCACCCGCAGCAGATAGATGGAGGAGAAGGGGGGGGCGGGGGGCTGGTGCTGCAGGTCCCCTCCCCCAACTGCCGCATCCGCAGCAGGGGGATGGTAGATCGCTTCCCCCCCACTGCTGCACCCGCAGCAGGGGGAGGTAGGAGAAGGATGAGGGGGGGGGGGGGGGGGGGGGGGGGGGGCGGTGCTGCAGATCCCCTCCCCCCCTCTGCTGCACCCGCAGCAGGGGGAGGTAGGAGAAGGGTGGGGGGGGCCTGGTGCTGCAGATCCCCTCCTGCCTCCCCCTGAACCTCCAAGCTCCCCCCCCTCTCCCAACACAAGGTGCGGCAGGGAGAGAGAGAGGAGGAGGCATGGCGGCAGCTGCTGCTGCTGAGGCACATCCGCCACCCCCTCACACCCTCTCCCCGCCATCCCCATGGAGGGGGGGGAGGGGGGCGGGGGCGGAGCTGCGCGTGCGACTGTAGGGCACGCGGGCAGGAGGAACCCCCTCTTGCCACCCCCTCACCCACCATGTTGCAACAGGGCACCGGGGCCGCGGTTAGGGGCGGCAGGTAGCGAGGGGCCATGGCTAGGGGCGATGGGGCCATGGCTAGGGATGGGCCCGGGTGCTGGGCAGGTGCGGGGCCAGGCGTTGGGCAGGTACGGGGCCGGGCGCTGGGCAGGTACAGGGCCGGGCGCTGGGCAGGTACGGGGCCGGGCGTTGGGCAGGTACGGGGCCGGGCGCTGGGCAGGTACGGGGCCAGGCGCTGGGCAGGTACGGGGCCGGGCGCTGGGCAGGTTTGGGGCTGGGCGCTGGGCAGGTACGGGGCCGGGCTCTGGGCAGGTACGGGGCCGGGCTCTGGGCAGGTACGGGGCCGGGCGCTGGGCAGGTACGGGGCCGGGCGCTGGGCAGGTACGGGGCCGGGCGCTGGGCAGGTACGGGGCCGGGCGCTGGGCAGGTACGGGGCCGGGCGCTAGGAAGGTACGGGGCCGGGCGCTGGGCAGGTACGGGGCCGGGCGCTGGGCAGGTACGGGGCCGGGCGCTGGGTAGGTACGGGGCCGGGGCGCGGGCTAAGTATGGGGCCAGGCGCTGGCGACAGACGGGGCCGGGCACGGGCTAGGTACGGGCCGGGCGCTGGCGAGGGACGGGGCCGTTCGCGGGGCTAGGTATGGGCCGGGCGCGGGCGAGAGATGGGGCCGGGCGCAGGCGTAAGACGTGGCCGGGCGCGGGCTAGGTACGGGCCTGTCGCGGGCTAGGTACGGGGCCAGGCGCGGGCGAGGTACAGACCGGGCGCGGGCATGGGACGGGGCCGGGCGCAGGCTAGGTACGGGCCGGGCACGAGCTAGGTACGGGCCGGGCGCGGGGCTAGGAACGGGCCGATCGCGGGCTAGGTACAGGCCGGGCGCGGCCGGGCGCGGGCTAGGTACGGGGCCAGGCGCGGGCTAGGTACGGGGCCGGGCGCGAGGCTAGGTACGGGCCGATCGCGGGCTAGGTACGGGGCCGGGCGCGGGCGAGGTACAGGCCGAGCGCGGGGCTAGGAACGGGGCCGAGCACGGGCTAGGTACGGGCCGATCGCGGGCTAAGTACGGGTCGGCCGCGGGGCGACAGAGTCGACAGGGCCAGCGGGGCCGAGGGGCGCGGCTAGGGGCGACGGGGCCAACGGGGCCGAGTGTCACAGCTAGGGGCGACGGGGCCAAGGGGCCGAGCCTAGGGGCTAGGGGCTACGCCAAGGGGCGACGAGCCGGGGCCTAGGCTAGCAGGGCATTAGGTGGTGGGCCCATTGATGTTAGGTCCTAGAACTTATTGCTCTTAATACCATGTTAGAATCCTAGCGTGACTTAGGAGCCATGGCTAGTGAGTGTCGAGAGAGTTGAGTGTCGAGAGAATTGAGTGTCGAGAGAATTGGAAAGGAGAATGAGTGGTTTCACTATAGAAAGTTGGGATACAAATAGCAAACCCTAAATTGGGTTGTACTCACTACAGAGTACCCCACTGCAGGCTAAACAACAAATACATTCTGACATGTCGCGCTGCCCTGCAGCTACTCGCACTGCCTACCCCCCCCCGCACGTTGCGCCCTGCTGCAGCCCGCATGTCGCGCTCTGGTGCTCTGTGCCTCACACCCTGCTGCAGCCTGCACGTTGCGCCCTGCTGCCCTGCACGTTGCGCCCTGCTGCCCTGCACGTCGCACCCTGCTGCAGCCAGCGCGTCGCGCCCTACTGCAGCCAGCGCGTCGTGCTCTGCTGCCCTGCGCGTCGCGCCCTGCTGCAGCCAGCTAGTCGCGCCCTACTGCAGCCAGCACGTCGCGCCCTGCTGCCCTGCGCGTCGCGCCCTACTGCAGCCAGCGTGTCGCGCTCTGCTGCCCTGCGCGTCGTGCCCTGCTGCAGCCAGCGCGTCGCGCCCTACTAAAGCCAGCGCGCCGCGCTCTGCTGCCCTGCGCGACGCGCCCTGTTGCAGCCAGCGCGTCGCGCCCTACTGCAGCCAGCGCGTCGCGCTCTGCTGCCCTGTGCGTCGCGCCCTGCTGCAGCCAGCGCGTCGCGCCCTACTGCAGCCAGCACGTCGCGCTCTGCTTCCCTGCGCGTCGCGCCCTGCTGCAGCCAGCGCGTCGCTCCCTACTGCAGCCAGCGCGTCGCGCTCTGCTGCCCCACACGTCGCGCCATGCTGCCCTGCACAGCGCGCGCCCTGGTGCCCTATCCACCACACGCCCTGTCCTGCAGCCCGTGGTGCGCCCTGCCCGGCCGAGCCGCGCCACACAGCCCGAGCAGTCCTGCCCAACCCGAGTCGCGCCGCCCTACCTTGATCACCAGCCCCACCGAGCCGCCCTGCTGCCACTACTGCTGCTGCTGGTGGAGGTGCTGCTGGGAGTGCTGGAAGTGCTACTGGTGCTGGGGATGCTGGAGGTGCGACTGGGGGTGCTGGAGGTGCGACTGGGAGTGCTGGAGGTGCTGCTAGTGCGGGACGTGGGACTGGGAGTGCGGGACGTGCGACTGGGAGTGCTGGAGGTGCTGCTGGTGCCGAAGGTGCTAAACCTACTACTGACCGTCACTGCCTGTCATGACCACTATCACGTCAGCTGCAGCGGCTAGGGGTGGACAGCGGCAGTCACTGCCTCTCCCGGACGACCCCACCCCTCAGCAGCTTCGCGAGTGGGTTCTTCAGCGAGCCCGTCCAGGTGGTGGAGGCTTTGGTTTTCTACGTACTGCACAGAGGCGGCAGCAGAGTCAGCAGGAGACCTTCTCCCCTCAAGTTCTCGACGAGCTTGGTGAGCAACGCTGCCATTCAGGATGTCTGGATTGATACCTTTATTCCTGGAGGGCAGCGTGTGGCGATTTGTACGTGCTCCCGGACAGGCCGTCACCTGGCTACGTTCACTCAACGGCCTGGGTCTAGTCTGTACACACTGACCACTGCGTCTGCCCAGATGGCTGAGGCAGGTCCGGTGGCTGCGTGGCGTCAGGTGTCTGCGTCTGATCAGCTTGCAGCGTCTTGCTCGTGTCGGGTACTCTCCCACCAGACTCTCCTTTGGCACCACCGCCTCGGTCACCCCTCCCTACCGCGTCTCTGCGGTATGCACTCCCGTCTCCTTCTCTCTGGCCTTCCCAGGTCCCTGCCCTCCCTCCCGCGCTCGCCTGCCCTGCCGTGCCTTCCCTGCGTCGAGGGGCAGCAGCGCCCCGCTCCTCACTCCTCCGAGTTTCCTCCGACCACTGCTCCTCTGCAGACTCTCCACATGGACGTTTGGGGCCCAGCCCCCGTCGGTGGAACGGACCAGGAGCGCTACTTCCTGCTGGTTGTTGACGACTACACACGTTACACCACTGTCTTTCCCTTGCGGCGCAAGGCGGACGTCAGCGGTGTTTTGATCCCCTGGATCCGTGCTACTCGTCCCCAGCTGCACAAGCGGTTCAGTCGGGACTTCCCAGTCTTGCGTCTGCACTCTGACAGGGGCGGTGAGTTCTTTTGTGATCCCCTTGCGGAGTTCTGTAGAGACGAGGGCATCGTCCAGTCTTTCACACTTCCGGCCTCTCCTCAGCGAAATGGGATTGCTTAACGTCGCATTGGCTTGATCAGGGAGGTTGCTCGTACCTCCATGATCCATGCAAGTGCTCCCATTTTCTGTGGCCGTTTGCGGTCCGATACGCTGCGCATCAGCTCAACCTCTGGCCTCATGTCTCTGAGCCAGAGACCTCGCCCACACTCCGATGGACGGGGAAGGTTGGCGATGCATCGGTGTTTCGGGTCTGGGGCGCGCTCTCCCTTGTTCGCGATGCCAAAGCGAGCAAGCCCTCCTCTCGCACTCTCCGCTGCGTCTTCCTTGGTTTCCCCACCGACGCCCCGCCGTGGCAGTTTTACCACCCGCGCTCGCGTCGAGTCTTCTCATCCTAGGACGTCACCTTTTGACGAGTCTGTCTGTTACTACAGGCTACACCCGCGCGCGTCCCACCCGGTCCCCCTAGCGCCTCTTTTCTTGTACCAGTCCCCCCCCCCGGTAGACCCCCTCCCCCCACAGGGTCCTCCTCTCTCAGGTGTGTTGTCTTAGGTAGAACCATCCCCCTTGGTTGAGCCTTTGGAGGTCTCTTCTGACTCCTCTGGCCCAACTGAGGGGGGTGACCCCGCCGTTGACGACACGGCAGCCACTCGCCGCTCTCCACGCTTGGAGACCCCCCCTGGTTTTCCGCCTCGGCCATCTTCGCCGCCTCCGCAGCCTGCTGCTGTGGACTCTGGAGCTGAGACTGCTGGTGCTAAGCCTGGGGGTGCTGAGACAGAGGGTGAGGGTTCTGGGGGTGATGCGACTGGGGGTGCTGGTTCTGGGGGTGCTGCGACAGGGGGTGCTGGTTCTTGGGGTGCTGCGACTGGGGGTGCTGAATCTGGGGGTCCTGCGAGTCCTAGTGGCGGTTGAGGTGTGGGTGACCCTGCTAGAGGTCCTAGAGCTGGACAGCCATCGCAGCCTGACCTACTTGAGATGCTCTCACTGCAGGCGATTCGTGCGTGGATCGTTCGGCAAGGCAGTCCTGGTGGTGGAGGGTACGGTCCTGCTGGTGCTGGAGCTGCTATTCCTGGAGGTACTGCTGGTGCTGGAGGTACTGGAGGTACTGCTGGTGCTGGAGGTGCTGCTGGTGCTAGAGGTACTAGAGGTGCTACTGGTGCTGGAGGTGCCGGAGATACTAGTCCTAGAGGTGCTACTGGTGCTAGAGGTGCTGGACCTACTGGTCCTGGAGGTACAGCTGGTGCTGGAGGTGCTGGAGGTGCTGCTGGTGCTAGAGGCGCTGGAGCTGGAGGTACTGGAGGTGCTGGAGCTGCTGGTCCTAGAGGTGCTCGTACTGGAGGTGCTGGAGCTACCAGAGCTGGTGGTGCTATTCGTGCTAGAGGTGCTACTGGAGCTGCTAGCAGTGGAGGTACTTGAGGTATTGCTGGTGCTAGAGGTGCTGGAGCTGCCGGAGTAGGTGGTACTGCTGGTGCTGGAGGTGCTGGAGGTGCTACTGGAGCTACTGGCACTGGAGGTGCTGGAGGTACTGCTGGTGCTGGAGGCGCTGGAGCTGGAGGCACTGGAGGTATTGGAGCTGCTGGAGCTGCTGGTCCTGGAGGTGCTCGTACTAGAGGTGCTCGAGCTGCTGGAGCAGGTGGTGCTGCTGTTGTTGGAGGTGCAGGAGGTGCTATTGGAGCTACTGGCATTGGAGGTGCTCGAGGTACAACTGGTGCTAGAGGTCCTCGCGCTGCCGGAGCTAGTGGTGCTGCTGGTGCTGGAGGTGGTGATGGAGCTGCTGGTGCTGGAGGTGCTGGTGCTGCTAGTGCTAGAGGACCTGGAGCTGCTCGTACTGCCCTGCGCAGACCGTTTTTCTACCCGCAGCCGCAGTCGTCCCTACTGCCGCATGAATCGGTCCTTCGCCAAGTTCTTAGTCTCCGGTCTTCCACTGGCCTCCCTCTACCCCTCCTATGTCCACCGACACACCATTCTCAGCCACAGCTACTGCCTGGCTCCCCGCTGCCTGCGCCTGCTACTCACACTGAGGTGACTGAGTCCCTGACTGAGCGTCGTGAGCGTGAGACTTGTG